GAGTATGGATTTGTCAATACGCCAGCATCTTCCGGCAAAAGTATCACAAGCGCCATGCGGCGTTTACAAATTTCCGCCGCAATTTTATTTTTTTACAGAGAAATTATACAACAAAGCTGTCCGAAAATTTCACTGAATTTTTTTTGTGCTGACGTTGGAGTTTGGTGAAATTTTCAAGCAGATTCAACCAGCAATTTCTTTGTAAAAACATAAAATGGCGGCGGGAATTTTTGAACGTCGCACAGCGCTTTTGATACCTTCGCCGCTGGGTGACAACATTGAGCTCTCGTGGCTTAAAAAAGCAGCCAGCCTCCTTTTACAGAAAACATTAGAGAATTGCTTCTGCCATTTGCAGATTCCAATATCAAACCAAGATGGCCAAGCATGCTTTTACATGAGAGCTTTTCCGCAAAAATGAGAAAATTTTTGCAAAAACTAAGTCAAGTATACGGTTCACCGATGCAGTTGTGATACCTGTGCGAACTATCCCGGTTTTTCATTCGTTTTATCCATTATTTTGACGGCCTTAGTCCCATAGTTGTTGGATTTGTATTATCGTTCCAGGCCGATTAAGTTGTTTTTCACTCCGCAGAAACATGCAGTATTGGGTAAAGTTTTTACTGACATAAGATCATTATTTCATGCATTCATTATAATGGTATTGCAAAATTGCTTTAAAAATCGTCAATATAAAATAAGCGTCCTTATATATGTAGATTTATACGTTTTTTATTGTATACGTTGTTTATTTATTTACCCGAGGAAGAATAAAGAATTTGAAAGCATTATAGAATTTATTCTTCACCACATTGTCACGCCACACGCCACGCACCACACACAATCATTAGTGATATACAAAGGAGTCCATATTTGCACTGCGGACATAATTTAAATGACAGTGCTTCCAGGGTGTATTGTAAAGTGCACCATCGTTGAAGAAACAACACAAACATTGCATGAATCGTATGATTAGAGAAACTAAATATTATTAAATATAGAAATCAAATTTACTAATTTACGTAGTCGAATCTCTTTGATAAAGAGACCCCTTCATTTTACTTTTATTTATCAATCTAGTTACATTTATCAATCAGCAGGATGCGCGTTGTTTACGCACTTACATGTGCCATTATAATCCGATAACTTCATGTCTAATAAGTAGCGCACTTTAAATATATTTTCCTCGAAACTGTATGCTTTGAATTGCAATCTTTAAACCTCTTTAACTCCCGTTTAGTGCGCTTTAGCATGATTCACAACTTCAGTCAATCCATAAAAATACAGTAAAATCAACTTAATCCAGGGATAGGTTGAAAAGAAAGAAAAAAAAAAGAAAAAAAGAAAAAAAAGAAAAAAAGCAAACAATATACTCGTCTTTAGATTTTTAAAGAAAGGTCAGGTCAGTTTGTCACCTTCCGGCCAAAGTATCACAAACGCCATGTGACGTTTGAAAATTTCCGCCTCCATTTCATTTTTTACAGAGAAATTGTTCGACAAAGCTGTCCAAAAATTTCACTGAATTTTCTTCGGAGCTGCCGATAAAATTCAGTGAAATTTTCAGACAGATGCAACCAACAATTTCTCCGTAAAAAAATATAATGGTGGCGGGAATTTTGAAACGTTGCACAGCGCTTATAATACGTTATTGCGAGCTGCCGACGCTGTAGCGCGCGGGGAATTTTATTTTCAAACTCGGTGTCTCGAAATTTCCGTGCACCCATTTTATTCTATCAAAAGCTAACGAGCTAATACAATTGTTTAAAAATTTCACGGAATATTTTTTACACGGAGAAGAATAATTAGAGGAATTTTCAAGAAATGCCGCTACGTATTTTTCCATTTAAAAAAATAATTATGGAAGGAAGTTTGCAGCGTCGCAAATCAGAGGAGCTAACGAGCCGATACAGTTGTTTGAAATTTTGGCGGAATACTCATTATACAGAGAAGAAAAATTTGAAAAATTTTCCAGAAGTGACGTTACGTTTTTTTCCTTTTAAAAAAGTAATAATGACAGGAAGTTTGAAGCGTCGCTAGTCTAATCAGGCTACGCGTTTTGGCAATTTCCTGTCGATTTTGTGTCGGTCAGTGTTGTTCCCATTCCTTTGAATGACTCGGAGAAAAAAGGAAGCAAAGGAGGGAAAACAAAAAAATAGCTTCGTCCTGTTGTATCGGAGCAGTTACATCCTCATTCTCAAAAATTAATCCGTGGCCTTGCTTGTATTTTTCAAAAGTTTTTAACTCTAAAGGTAACAATATACACGTCAGTGAGATTAGAGCGACCCGTATAGTATCGAGAGAGTGAAAAGGTACGTGAGGTACTTTTTTGGAGTTTATGGGTTTTAGGGGAAACTATTTCGAAGTGATTTTTGAACTCGAATCTATCTGAACTTCATGTTTAGAAAGCTCAGCTGTTCTGCTAGAATACCTACTGCTCTCTCTCGTTTTTTTCCTTGAGTTCTTTGTTTCAGAACGTCTACTCCTACTTCACTTTATTTGATTTTCTAAATTATTTTCCTGGTGCGAATTTTTTCAGACGACGTTCTTGAAAGGACAAAGTTGCTTTCAAAAAATTGACAAGGAAACTAAATCAATCAATCAATACAAAACCCAGGCCAGGCGAAATGCTTTCACTGAAAACAGAATGGCTTCATAACGGCAAGATGGTGATTTCATCGGTCTTGAAAATCATCGCAAACCGGCGATACGCAGCCTTTTCTCGAGTGCATTTCTTCCCTGCTACTCTTCATACGGGACTGCAAATCCAAGCTTTTCCAGCCTGGCCCGAACCAAAAGGCTCGCAACCCTAGGAAAAACAACACAGACAAGGAAAAAGACCCTTGGTGCCTCATAGCCGAAGAGATGCTCTCAAGGGCAGAAATCAAGATCAACGGTCCTCGCCCTTGGGACATCCGCGTCAAAAACACCAATCTCTTCCACCGCGTCTTGAACGAGGGTTCCCTGGGTCTCGGCGAAAGCTACATGGACGGCTGGTGGGAGTGCGAGGATCTCGATGAGTTCTTCTACCGAATCTCAAAGCATCGTCTCTACGACTACATCCCTAGTCGGTGGTCTGACATCTTCCGACTGGCAGTGGCGCGGCTGTTCAACCTGCAGTCTAAGATCCGCGCCCGGAAGGTATGCGACGTGCATTACAACCTCGGAAACGACCTGTTCGCCCAAATGCTCGACCCGCACATGCAGTATTCCTGCGGCTACTGGCATGGCGCTACTACGCTCGAGGAGGCGCAGAGGAATAAACTTCGAATGATCTGCGAGAAACTTCAGCTAGAGCCAGGTATTACACCTTATCTAAATTCAGTGGCTTAGCGTGCTTTGCAATAAACCGTTTGATCTGCTATTTAAACCTATGAAAAAGGATCGAAAAGCAGGGTGTTCGCAACGAACACCTTGATAATCGACTCTTTATACCGTAGCTTCAAATAAGGAAGCACTAACAATCTTAGAAATGTAATTGAGTGAGACAAACGTTAAACTCGTAGACCAACGCTTTTTTGCGCCTAATTATGAGCAATTTGTTAAGCAAAAGATCAAATTAAGTGCGCTTAATGATGACTGATAAAGGTAAATGTATGCACTTTGCTCAGCGAATTTGAGCAAATTAGGTTAGAATTACGAAACTAACTGCTCACTTGTTTGCTATATTAGTCATTACTAGATTAATTAAACTGTGTATTCCTGAAATTCACTTCTTCACTTTAGGGAAGAAAGCAGAGTGAAATTCCAAAAGCGGAAATGATGATATGCGCTTTTGAGGTGGTAAAATCAGGGAATCATTTGCGCAAGTGATGCCCTTGAAACTGGGAAAAAAGCAAAGTAAAACTTAATCTACGTTAGAAATTGGGTTGCAATACAACATAATTATTTTAAGTCCGTGATATCAAATAGTCTCCGTCCAAAGAGCAAACGAGCACAAAAGTTTAGTAAGAATGATTATGTTGGTTGAAAGCGCAAATACCTAAAAAAAGGAGTAGGACTTGAGAAAAAACATTTGCTTGATTTGATTCGTTTCTCATGACCCCAGTCAACTAGTGTTCTAATTTAATGACCCTGAAGCAATCAGTAACATGAGAAATTTTTTCTGCAAGCTTTGAGTCCTGCCGCATCGAGTAATACATGTAAACAATCGAAGAATTATTCAAAAAATTGATATTGTCACGATGAAAATCATTAATAGGTTACTTCATCAGCTTCATTGACAACACTGGCATTAAGTTAAGATGTAGAAGTAAGAGAAACAAACAGAACACTCTGGTCAGTATGGCATGCGACCAGTGGCGTGGCGTGAATGATCGATTATCGATATTTCCCTACTTGAAGCATTGGTAAAGAATCGACGATTAAGGTGTTCGTTGCAAACACCCTGTACATATATATCGATCTTTTCTATAGGCTTGAATGGCAAATCAATCGATGAATTGCTCAGCACGCCACGCCACTGCATGCGACGAAAACTAAACACGTTTCATTTTAACGCCTAGATGCAACTAAACGGGCTCCAGGGATGTCCGCGTTGCATACCCACGGAGGAGAAGGCGTTTTGACTTTCCAGGCACTCCCCGCTTAACCCGCGGCGTAGCGCTGCGTGGCGGCAAGCTGTACTGTGATGATCTAAAATGGCAGAGTGCCTTCAATTATTCTTCGTTTATAGTACAAGAACAATTCTTTTGTTATTTCACACAGGTGTAGGATGTATACCTAAGTACTTTTTACGACCTCAGCTTGAGTGCAATATGCTGAGCATGTCTTGTAGAGCAACTGTTCGTGCCTAAGATATGTGTTTGAATATAAATGAAGAATCGAAGGCGCCCTGTCCTTTTGGATCTCCGTGGTACTACTCGCCGTACAGTGGATTGAGTTAATAGGAGAGGTCAGACAAAATTTGGACATTTTAAACGCTTAAAACTTTGTGGATACAAAACTTTGAGGTTCTAAAAGTGGTTCCATTGGGTTTCTCATGCACTTTTCTTCTCAAAGAACACCTTGAAATTTAAAATAGGACGAGTGAAACATCAACATTTGCAGTATTAGTTGAAAATTCCATGTACGACCTATCTACTTAATTCGATCCACTGTGTGCCACATTTGAACAGTTCCACTGCACACACATACACAGCAATTGAACAGTTCCACTCCCCGCCCACCTATCGGACGACCGCTTCATGTGTGTTACGTACATTTTTTCATGGGTCATCAACAATCTACAGTCTCTACATCGCTGCTCAGAATACCTGATTAATTCTCGTTAGTACATACATACATACATAAAAACCGCTTTCACAGCGCTCTTGGCGCTCTGCAACACCCAGCCGGACTTTGGCGGCTGGGTGCTCGGAATATACTAAACCATTTTTCCGGCCGAAGTATCACAAGCGCCATGCGACGTTCAAACATTTCCGCCGCCATTTTATTTTTTACAGACACATTTTTGGTTGAATCTGTTTGAAAATTTTCATCGGCAGCACAAAAAAATTCAGTGAAATTTTCGGACAGCTTTAACCAACAATTTCTCTTAAAACAATAAAATGGCGCCGGAAACTTTTAAACGTCGCATGCCGCTTGTGATACTTCGGCTGGAAGCTGACGAAATGTTGGCATGTTTGCAGGGATGCGGCTCCTGGACATCGGCTGCGGGTGGGGCGGTTTGGCTGAGTACGCCGCCCGGCATTATGACGTCACCGTTGTCGGGGTGTCCAACTCGAGCGAACAAGTGGAGCTCGCCAGAGGGCGCTGCAAGGGGCTCAACGTCGAGATCCTGCTCTCGGACTACCGCGACTTGGATCCGGACCAGCGCTTCGATCGAGTCGTCTCCGTCGGTATGTTCGAGCACGTCGGACCCAAGAACTACGATCTCTTCTTCTCCATCGTGGACCGCTGTCTGGCCCCCCAAGGGATCTTCCTCCTACACACCATCGGGTCGAACACGACAGTGACGAAACTCGATGACTGGACCGAGAAGTACATTTTCCCGAACGGGCGTTTGCCGTCCAT